AGACGTCCTGAGCCTCCTCCCCTCCCTCCAGCCGCCGTCGACCAACATCATTTTGGACGAGGAAGCGGCTGGCCTGATGACCTTGATGGTCAACTGTATCCTCTCCCAGATCGTGGCCCTCGTTGGCTGCTCCTGTAACCTCATCACAGTTCTGGTTCTTCGCCGCGACGGTTACAAAGACCCCACCAATCTGCTGCTTCTTTCTCTGGCCATATGGGACCTCTTGTTCGTGGCAACACTATGGCTACGTAAAATGGAATGTCCTGTGACGTACATCGCAGAAATGTTGGGCGGGGAAGATAACTTTATGTTGGCTAAACGCTACAACGTTTATATCATGGTCTACGGTATTTTTAACTTCTACAGAACTGCCATGTTCGTTTCTATGATGCACATAGTTGTGTTGACCTTTCAACGTTTTCTCGTCGTCTGCTTTCCCCTGAAAGTCTCCCTGTGGGTAACCGTTAAATCCACAATGGTTGTACTTGTGAGCTTGTACGCCATATCGTTGGCGATGTTTTCTCCTTTCTACGCAGGACTGGCGGTGGGCGCTGCCTTCGACCAAAGATACAATCGAACATTTCCGACTTTTATTGCATCCAAGTTTTTCCTGGAAAATTTTCAAACCATGTCGACTTATAATGGCGGTTTTGTTGGGGTTGTTCGAGGTCCTGTGTCGTATTTCCTGGTCATTTTCTTTTCCAGCGTCACCGGATACAAACTCTCAAAAGCCGACAAAAAACGCTTGGCAATGACGTCATCAAACAATGGGTACAGCAACAAGGTGACCCGGATGTTATTAGTCGTCTGTGCAGTGTACATCGGCTGCAGTTTACCATCCTTCATGATTTTCATCGCCCCGTTGTTCATTCCTTGGTTCAGTATGGGCAACCCCCAGTTTAATCTTTTTCTGGATTTGCAAGAACTTTTCCAAGCGATCAACTCGAGCGCCAACTTCTTCATATACATCCTGATGTCGAAAAAGTTTTACGATAATTGCATAGATCTGTTGTTGTGTGGTCGCCGGAGCTCAAAGAAAACAGCTCGTTTATAGAATGAATGTTGTCCTAACGCCAATTACGTAAGACAGTACAGCTTTTGAACATCTCCGAACACAAAATATAAACCACGTTATCTATAGTGTCGTAATTACAAGCTACCGGGCTCCTAATCGCGAGATTGGGGGTTCTGAGGTTCGAGGCTCAGTTTTGTCTCGTGTTGTGCCCTTGAGAGCGTCACTTTATTACACGAGCTTGCAAATCTTCGTTCAAATGTCACTCTTAAATTTGGTGGATATTACTGAACAATTATTTCCCTCGTAAGACATAAATTTCGGCTGCAGTCTAGCTGTGAACGTTGATTTCGTTCTCATTCTCATTTCCCTATCGGAGATGGCTGTTAATTTTAGAAATCCGACCTCTTAAATAACATTGTACAGAGTTACAAAGGGTTATGTCAAATCTGTACGTTTTCGCACAATTTTTTCCTCACAAATTATATCATCGTCTATGCTATTTCTAACTTCTACTTAACCACTTTGTCCATTTGTTTGATGCACATTGTTGTCCTCACCTTTCAACGCTAGTTTCTTTCACAAATAATCCTGGCTTTCAATGTGAAGCATTGAATGGCATTTGTGAGGCAGCGTGGTGGAATCAGGCTCTCGTCAGTTTTTTGGTCATATTTATAGAGGTATTTGCATCATCTTAAAGCTTGTATACTTGTCTTTATTTGGATGAAAAAATATCCATTTATCTTGAATACAAGTCGAGATATTTGCGAATGAAGGAGGTGGAGTCACCTGTTTTCAGAGGTGAAATTGTTGAGAAAATGGCTGTCAAATATTAGTTATTTCCTTAGCTTAAGAGTCCCTGGTAAGTGAAAATTTACATTTTTTGTGCTTTTAATCAACGTGTTTCAGAAAAATCCACTCAGAAATTAGTTATTTAATGGGCATGAAAGCTGTTGAGCCAAACAACAAAAATTTGATAAAAATTCACAAACCTGCAGAAAAATGCAAGTTTCTTCACTTTGATAATTTTAACGAGAGCCTGATTCCACCACGCTGCCTCACATTTTTTCTTTTAGATTTGATAAGTACACCTATGCGGTATAAGCTCAGTCTTTGAAAGGGCATTACAGCATAACGTCGGGAAACTGTTAACATGTATTAAGATCAGAAAGAAAAACAAAACAGGAGAGAGAAAAATGCTGTTTCATTCTTTTAACAGTTGTACCAACATTACATTTTGTCGTTTGCTTGTTGTTATTGTTGTTTTGTTGTTGTTGTTGGGGTTTTTTTGTGAGTTTTTTGTTGTTGTTTGTTTGTTTGTTTGTTTTTGCTTTTTTCAAAATATACGGGGGGGGGGGGATTCAATCAGTCTTTGGTCTGGATATGAAAAAATCATGGTAGAGTAATTACATTTCGCAGCCTTTAGACAATTTCTTTGAAACACACCATGCAAACTTTCGAGAAAATCCGACAATAATAAGGCACCAGTCAGCGTGTTCTTTGAAACCACGCACAAAACGTTTGTTTTTCTTTGCTGAAACTGTGCAATGGAGCCAGTTGGATATCGCTCAGCTATTAAAGTTTTACATCTGCAAGGAAAATCCCCTTCGGACATTTTTCAGGAAATGGTTCAAGTTTACAGTGAGAAATATCCTCGTTATAATACTGTGACATACTCGGTAAGAAAATTCAAATCTGGATTCATGTCGGTGATGGATGAAGATCGTGAAGGGCGACCATCCTTTATGGTAACTGAAGAGAATGTGTCCAAAGTGAAGAAACTGGTTCTACAAGACCGACGTATAACTGTCAGACAGCTCTAAAGTGAAACAGGAATCATATAGTGTCAATTGAAACGATTCTCCGTGGCCAACTTAACATGAATAAGGTGTCTGCGCGGTGGATACCCCGCCTTTTGAAAAGTGAGTAAAAAAAGCCGAGGGTTGAGTCCTGCAAAAAGTCTCATTCGAATTGAGTCCAATGACACAAATTTCTTCAAAAACATGGTGACTATGGATGAAACATGGATTTATCATTTTGATTCAGAACAAAAAACTGTCCTCCATGCAGTGAAAAACCCTTTCTTCTCCCTCACCAAAGAAGCCAAAGGTAACACATTCAAGTGGAAAGGTCAAGCTGTTGTGTTTCTGGGATTGTGAAGGTGTCATCATGACTGACTAACTGGAAAATGGAAAAACAGTCACAGGAGACTACTACTCGGGTTTGCTGATAAAACTGCCGTCCGAATTTGTGAGATAAAGGCGTGGAAAACTGCGTGGGGTCCTCCTACTGCATGACAACGCCCCTGTGCACAGGGCACAACAAGCAGACCAGGTAGCAGAACAGTGAGGCTTTGAAATCCTGCCACACCCAGCTTATTCACTAGCCCTAATCTAAAGAAACCACTCAAAGGACATCGTTTCCATGACAACGAGGACGCCACAGAAGCTGTTGAAGACTGTTAGGGGCCCATTCCTGGTCATTTTTCTCTCAAGGCCTTTTGGAGGTCAAAGAGAGGTGGCAGAAAACTGTTACTCTGCATTGTGACTATGTAGAGAAATAAAAGTATGTGTGCCGAGTTACAAAGCTTTATCTTCATTCCTTCATATTTAGACCAAACACTTCTTGACCTCCCCCCCCCCCTCCCCTCACAGAATTTGAATATCAATAACATATTATTTCTTGAGCTCATGCAAGTGATACCAAAGTTTCAAAAAAGCTGCAATAAAAAACATAATCGAAATTTTGTGCTTATAACATTTCAACATCTTGCCGACGATACATTGTTATAATAATAGATAGATAGCATTTGTATAGCGCAAGCCCCTACTCAACAGCAAGCTCTATGCGCTTGACAATCTATACTATTACCTCAGCAGACCTGAGAGCATTCTGAGACAAACTCAACTTCCTGGGAAGTTGTCAGTGCAAGCAGACATTTATGGGCGCTAAAACATTAACATACTGACAAGACCTTTCGCTGTCTGTGGCTGGGTACCCATTCCCACCTGGGTGAAGTGAGGAACATTCGTGTAAAATAGTAAAGCGCCTTTCCTAGGGAAACAACGTCGAGCCTGCGCTCACGATTACGAATCCGGTAGCCTAACCACTCGGCCACAGACGCCACACGTAGACAATTTTGAACCGGTATGTCCAATAAGCATCTGTTTATGATAGGTTCTTGCGTTTGCTGCTTTTGTTCCCGGCGTCCTCAACACACACGTAACATGTTCAATAAAGCGTTATGCAAAGAACTGATTTATTCACCCGGAGCGGTGCTACTGACTGAAGTGTTTCATGCCATTCCCAAAGCTGCCGCACGGTGACGAAACGCCTTTTTTGTTCCCAGTAGTTTTGAGGAAAAATGGCGTTTAGTCAGCATAACCATTAAAAAAAGACGTTCTTCTGGAATTTGAATTCTAAATAAGTCAAAGACTAGTCACAGTTTCACTTTGATTTTATTTTTCACACAAGTAGAAAAACTGCTCACGCTGACGATGTATCCCAAAAAAAATTTTTTCAATTGGTGCCCAAATGTTTAAAAGGCGTTTTGTCAGCTGAGGGCAGAAAGGGGATTCGTGGGGGGAGGGGGGGGGGTGGGCATTAACATCTCGAGTTCTTATGCACAGTAGAATTGTAATTGTAAATGGGCTGAGTCATAATGTCACGCTCATAACTGTGCCTGAACTGCAACAGGAAACTGCTACTTTTTCTTTCCTAATCCTTACTATTATTATTATTCCTCTACTTCTTTTGTATGTTTTTCACACTTTTGTGACCTGCTATTTCCCAGGTGCCTTGATAGTCGAAGCACACTTTGTACTGTTGAAGCTGGAGAGATGAGCAGAGTAAGTCTGATTCCCTGTAAGGACTTTTCTCTTGACATCCACCCCTTGGCGCTCGTATGACCTTATGTAGTTGCGAGTGCCGTAAAACCTCTACTAAAAAACAAAAAAGAACTGATTTCTCTGTATTTATCGTGATAAACTAGGGAAAGGTGGAAAGCGTTTGCTCGTGGCTTACACTTTGACCCAGGGTGAGAATGATGATGATGGTGATGATGCTCGTGGTGAACTAACATAAAGGACAGGCCATTCACAGATATCTCTTATTAGACATTCTTTAAACTGATCAATATATTGGTAAGATGTTTAAAAGGTGGTATGATCTTCTGGTAGGAAAGCTCTACACTTAGCTTAATTCGGAAATTCCTAAATGATTGTTTTACAAGTGTGCGTTTACAGAATGTGAAAATATTGAATAGTTTTCAAATTACAGCCAAATTCCGGTTTTCCGTGGGACAGCCCTCGTAACAAGCGCTTCACATAGATACGCTTGTAAATAGATTAATGACATTTACTATTTCACAGCATTATTTCTTTCACTAAAGGTGTGTTTGAGTTTCTAGAATATAAATACACCCGGGCATTAGGTTTTACAGTCTGTTTAAAAGCTGTCCGTACGCCCAAGGGTCATTTTGTACCCCCGGGGTTGTATTCTTCACATTTTAGAATTCTTTTACTACGAAGATCTCTTTGAAATTTTCAGTATTTCTCCCCCAAAAAATAATCATTTTGACAGACTGCTATGCAAAACATACGGATCGGATTATAATGACGAGTAAATTTCCTCTTTGAGTTCCCCACGTCGTACGGATACGATAGTAAAACACGACGTACGGATAGGATTAAGTGGTGGCAGAGAGTTCCCCACGTCCTATGGATGCGATAGTAAAACACGACGTACGGAATTCAATAGTAAAACACGACGTACGGATAGGGTTGGATGGTGGCACAGAGTTCCCCACGTCGTATGGATTCAATAGTAAAACACGACGTACGGATAGAGTTAAATGGTGGCACAGAGTTCCCCACGTCGTATGGATTCAATAGTAAAACACGACGTACTGATAGGGGTTAAAAGCTGTTCTTTACATTAAACTATGGTCGCAGCAGCCTTCACGAAACGGTATTTTTGTTCATGCACATAAAACACGTTATTTCTCTGTTTGGTTGGTTGGCTGGTTGGTTGGTTCCTGTTTG